CTTTGGGTTGCTGTAAGCACTCACTGTGATCTATGCACTTAGTTGCTAAAGTAAAATGCTGCTACTAAACTTAAGAAGTAACATGAACAAATAATTTATATGGCTGATGCAAATAATAAAATGGGATGAAAGAAATCCTAAAACCAAAATACATATCAAAGAAAATCACACCAAAATAAATTATAAAATAAACATTTTGATTAAATTATAGGTTAGGAGAAGTGGGAGGGTTATACACAGAAATTAGCTGGGATAGGGGCTGAGAGAAGTTAAAAAAGTGACTAAGTTGACACAGACATACAAATTAAAATGAACACCTAAAGGAAAGGACAAGTTAACGTCCACAGCACACTGCAGAAGAGTAACAAAGTCATGCAAAGTAGGAGTCTTCTGAAGTCAGAATAATAAGTACTTGGTAACCAGAATCCTGGGTAGTTCAAACCAACAATCCAGCTCACTCCTACATAATCATGTAGGATTATAACACTTTCAGATTAAAAAGGTAATTAAAATAAAAATATAACCAGAAGGTGTATTTTCCCAGTACCATGATTTACACTATTTGAAATGAAAGCAATGCCAAAGATTAAAATCATCTGACCCCGTTAATCATCTTCCAAATGTATTTAAATTCAAATAAGTCCCCTTATTCATAAACTGTCCTAAAGAAAAACATAAACCTGTCCAGACCACTAGGGTGAGATCGTAATTATTAAAGAACAAAGTTACATGTCAGATACATAGTTTAACACTTTTGACATCTTGAAATAAATATATATTCAATTACATTAAAAAGAAAACAAATTTTATTACTACTCTACTTAAAATATGTAGCGTCAGTAAATAAGCTCAAAAAAAGGGGGACAATGTTTACTGGTCAAAAATAGATAGCTAGGGAAAAAAATGGATTATTTCAGAAATGAATCTGTGGGAACTGCCTAAATGTAAATTATTAGCTTAAATTCTGTCGTGATCAGGTGATAGCCTTACTTCTGTAGCCTGAGGGACTAAGGTTCCTGAAAATATAACCAAAGTTCAAGGAAAAATTTTTAATAACATAGTATTTAGAGAGGCACTTAAAGGCAGGTCCCTATCTTCTTCATCTTCATATTCTGCCCCAGCTCACAGCAGGGTCCTATCTAAAGCAGGTACTTAAGTCTGAGGGAATAAATCACAGGGGCAGAGGGGGATAAAGGGTTAATGTGGCCTCAAACATGTACTATCTCTGCAAGTGATTTATTTCAACCAACATGTTTACAAGCATACTGAAACAAGGTATTAAGTTTGAGACCAACATGTATGCACCAATACCTGTCAATTTCTTTGCAGACATTCGCTAAAACTCTTTGCTTCCGTAAAAATTTTGAAACTACTCTTTTACACATCTAACTCAACTACAAGACGTGGCAGCTTTCTAAAAGCAGAGATCTAAGGCTTATTGTTGAGTGAGACTCCTCCCTACTGAATTACAGTGAAAAATTCCTAAATGACCTTTAGCAAATTAATCAATCCTTTTTCTGCTTTATAACATTAAGATACATCTAGCATGGCGAACCAACAGTGACCAACACCCAAAGGCTGCCACAACCCGAAAGAGAGAGGAAAGAAAGGAGGCAAACCCAGCACTCCACAATTTTTTCAGATTCTTTCATGAGAAAGGGAGTAGAACTTGGTTGGTGGGAAGGGGAAGGAGATATTTTCATTCCTTAGGTGTATGTTTTTCTTTTTTTTTTATCCTGCAATTGCACAACTCTAGGCCGTATCTTAACACTGAGGTTGCAAGCTGCTGGCCTGTAAACATGTTTTGTTCTGATCAGTGCTTTTAAAGACTTAAATTTACTTGCCATTATTTGAATAGCAGGAAATTTCACATAAAAATCCTGATGTCTCGTGTCTCACAGAATCAGAAGACCTGGCACCAGCCAGCCCGGACAACAAAAGGCCAGAGCTGAGTTGTGGCTGCCTCTTTTAGACAGGGCCTGTCACAGTCCCTACGTCTCTTACTTCTCATACCTGACCACCTTTGTGCACTGACATTACCTATCCCGATCCTGTAGGTACTCAAGTTCTGGGGTTCCACCCCCATCTACCTTATCTACATCCTTTTGTAAACTAGGGGAAACTTCAGTACAGAAGTCCTAAATTCCCACTGGACTTCTACAAAATTCTGAAACACTGCAAGGAATCAGGAAGGAGTTCTTCGAAAGGTACATTGGGTTCCCTCATCTTTTTCATTCATTCCATTCTTGATTACTAGATGTCGGGGATGTATGCTGACACTACCATTAAATTAGTTCTAGTTTATAAATAGATATGACAAGATGTACTTGATTTCCCTTCAAAGATCTTTGTACAGAGTACTTTACCATGAGCAAGCTCATCAATTAATACACACCCAACCTTTTCCATTTGGAAGCTGACTAAACCGACCTAAGAATAAAATTGTCCCTAAAGATGCAGACAATCAATCAATCTGCAAGTTACGGACACTCAAGATCTCATAGAATAAGTGAAACAGATGGTTTTGATTAGCAATTATTAGGAGCCAAGGTGGGTTCACTGAGAATAAGACACCAAATAGATGTCACTTCCTATTTGGATAGAATTACTACATTGATAGATTGATAGATCAGAAGAATGTGTTAGAAATTACATATTGGGAAAAAAAGAAAAGGAAATTGCATCTTGATTTCAAAAGAGCCCTCCATGAAATTCTTATAAGATACTAAGGTAAAATATGGACTGGATAATAAAATATTTTTAATTTATAGAATAATCTTTTCCCAAGAATTTTAAACCTGTGTCACTGGGAAAAGAGTTCTCCGAGGGAATACTTCAGGGCTTGCTGGCTTTGGCTCCCTCTCTCTCTCTCCAATCTCTTGGTATTCAACATTATTTTTTATCAATAACTTGAACGATAAAGAAGACATATCTATCAAGTTTGCAAATAACACAATGCCAAGAGAGATAGATAATGGGACAAATGACAGAAATAATGTTTGAAATGACTGAGCTAGAACAAATGGATCAAAAAGAAGAATATGACACTTAATAGAGATACATATGTATCTGTGTTTAGATTCAAAGACTCAACTAAAAATGTCAAGTACACAATTAGAGAGGAGGGGATGCTGCCTTAATAGTACCTCGTATGAAAAAAATATCTGATTTCAGTGAACCCCAAGATTCATATGCATCCACAGTGGGATGGGGCTGCTAACAACGTCACTTCATGCAGCAGACAGGTGCTGTTCTGACTGTGGGACATGACCCCGCTGTTCGAGACTGGTCCCATCACACCTGGAGCACTGCTCCCCATTCTCAGCAGCACCTCTTTTAAGAGGAACTCTGAAAACCTAAAGGGCTTTCAGACGAGGACAACCAGGACTGATGAGGTCACTAAACCATCTAATTTAAGAAAAGGCTGAAAGAAATGGGGATGTTCTACCTGGAGAAGAGAAAATTAGGGGAGACATGATGGCCGTCTTCAAATGTCTGAAGGATTGCTAGGTTGAAGAGGGAGTAGAATAGTCGTATGTTGTTCTAAAGGGCAGAACTAAAACTAAAGGAGAGAAAGTTACAGGGAAATCATTTTAGTTAAAAAATAAAAATAAAGAGCAAAGGCAAAAGCAAAAATCCTCTCCGGTGAGGAAAGCCATCAGCAGATAAACAGTACTCTCCACAGGAAGGCTTTCAGGAAGGCATTCTAATGGGAGGTTAGGCCAGAGAGTTCTGGAATCTCTTCTGACTCTAGGTAGCATTTCCAACACCGGAGCTTCTGAATGTTGTTTGGTTTGAACTAGCCTTGCATTTTCTCAGATAGTCCTCATAAGAGAATCTGTGTTACTACATTATAAGATGCCATTCAAAGGACAGAGGCAGAACTTTACCACCAAATTAGTGTGGCAGTCCCTTCAAAGCAGTCACCTGAGATGGCTGCATTCTTATTCCAGAGCTACTAGTGCTCAAAACGTCACTGAAACTCTTTTTAGAATGCCTTCAAGATCAGTTTCTGACCCACATTAAATATAGTCTCACTGTTTCATAGCCATATCTACTATTTCTGCTGGTGGACACAAACTATCCTACAGTCAGAGCCCACTAGCCTTCAGTGAGAGTCCAACAGTAAGACCAAGAATGGACCCATTTCTAACCAAAGTCTATTTAGCTTGATCATGTGTCTTAATCAAGTCCAGCTCCCAATGAGAGCTGAGTGTCGATTTCAAAACACTCATCTTTAGACAAAAAAATTTACAGCAGATCCAAATTTATAGTCCATAGTCTCTTAAATGCTCACAAAATGTAAATTTGAACAAGGGAAGCATGACCAGAATAAGAATATAACCTTCCAAGTTCTTTGCTTTGAGGGAATGTAAATATCTTACTTATTTGTTTCCCTTCCCTTTCTAAAAAGCGTATCACTTTCTAGGCATACTATATGTTTTGGGCTCAATTATAAAGACCTCAAAAATGAGTACTACAGATCTTTTGTTCTTTCTCATAATCCTTTGAATCCTCAAAGTTAGCTATTATCCTCATTTCCAGAAGCCATGCTCTTTCACATAAACATTCCAGGTACTTATAATACAGAAAATTTTCAAACCCGAGATACCGTTCGCATTAGTGTGGTTTTAATGAAGTTATATTAGTTGAACGTAAGCGAGTACAGTTTCACATTTGGGTTCAATGTGTCTTTTTGTTACTATGAAAGTCCTCACCTATTTCTACAACTCTCAGCCAAAAGGTTTTAATCTCCCTATACATATTATCCTGTCATATGAACGATACTTTAAACTTCATGAAAAAAGAAATCCAAAATCTTATTTTATAGTCCCCTGAAAACATCATCACCACGGTGAGAATTTTAGTGGAAGTTAGTTGGGCATCAGTTGGCTTGTGGTCTTTGTAGTGAGTATCTGTATAATGAAGAGTTATCCACTTTTTTTTTTTCTTTTGTATTTTAACAGAATGCCTGGTACCCAGTAAATAAAGTTAAGAACCTGTTAAGAACTGCAGTGAAGATTTTGTTCTTTACAGATTGCAGCAAGTCTGAGTTGAGGAAGTTCTGACAGATGCAAAATGTACACCTGTTGCAGGTGCACATACAGCGTAACCGGGCATGGCTGCGAAAACACACAGAAGGACAGGAGTTGAGTTCTTACTTACAAATACGGCACAAGTTAGGGTGTGCCAACTTAAAAAAAAAAGATTTAGGCATAAGCAACACTAAGGAAAAGGACAGTGTGGGGCATGCTAAAGTTGTGCAGAATTCCACATTTACCAAAAATACAGTACATAGCAATAGCTCCCTCCTCCCTCCCTAGAGAAAACCTAAGGAAAATTAGCTAATACTCTTGGCTTTTTTGGAGGGGGGATGGAATTATCATCACAAGAGTTTTAGTGGAATAATATGCACAATAATAGATGGCACCCTCGTGTAAATTAATAAAAAGAAAAACTGAGTAAGCCATAGCACCCACCAAAAGGACAAAGTGTGCTAGCATTTAAGGAACCATTCCCTCCTCCTCCCTCAGCATACACACATGCCTGAAAAACCAGGAAGGAGAAGAGTGACAAATACACAAAAGGGTCAAAAGACGAGTATATTCAACCCTGAGGAGACGGTCTTCAATTCATCAAGCACCCTGGCTCCCGAAGGAAATCAAAGTGCTTCATAAATTTCCACGTGAACAAAACAGAGGGTTGATTTCATCTGCTACGAAAACACAGCAGCTAAGTATGAAAGTATGAAACTCTGGGTGAGGATGTAAAAATCAACAATGGGTCCAGTTGGCATCAGATATGAAATTTAGGGAGGCTTTCTGACTCCTTTCTGGTTGAGTGGAGTTGTACTAGTCGGTACAGGCACGTGAGGCAATCTATTTCACCTCCGTCCTAACAACCAAGAGTAGGGGGTCCCCAGGGACTGCCCAGTGGTCAAAGCCGTCACGGCACCCTGAAGAGGCACTGGCGCCGAACCCACTCAGAAGAGCGCCGCCTGATGAATCAATGCCAGCACTTCCTGTAACACCTGCCCATTTTTTTTTAAAGGCTTCTCAGTCAAAGGACTGGCCCACTCTGACTTGGCTTAGCTTGTGAGATCTGATGAGACCACATCACACGGTGGCATGGTGGTGGAGATTAGCAGCATCCCAATAATGCCTAATTCCCAACATGAAGAAAAACGAGAATTAATTTTTAAGCTCTCATAGACTCAAGACATTCCTTTTTTAAAACCTGACTTGTGATGAGGAACGTATCAACGCTACTAAGTCACTGCCAGCTGTCATACTGGAATCCATCTGTTATTTTATCAATTCGGTCTGACTCTTCAACATACACAGGCTCCACCCACCAAAAAGGAGACGCAAAGTATGCTTAGCAACAGGGAGATGCTTCATGAGAAGTAGTTTGGGATTAACCATATAAGCAAGTGTCCCTGTATGTACATTTATCATATATACACACACATACATACAAACACACACGAATCGCAGCAAAACGTTTTAAAGATGCAGATCTGAAAACACAGTTACAGTTATCTACAAGATTAAAATAGTGCATTTACATAGTAAACAAAAAAAAAAAAAGAAAAAGAAAAAGAAAAAAAACACTACTGTCATATACAGTTAGGCAGCAAGCCTGACCAAGCAGTGCGTTTCTGGATAATTACGAAATGTTAATTACGGCAGGAAAGGAGATCTGGTCATCTACAAGAAAATGTCAACAAAAATCCCACAGAAGCCATAAAGAAAAAGTAACTTACAAAGCAGTTTTTAGAAAGACCCAGATTTTTCTCAAATTCTCTATTCTATCAGTGTTGCCCATGTCTCGGGAGAGTCTGTTTCTGTAATGATCCTCTCTGTAGATAACATACACGAGAGTTTTAAAGCAAAGGTAAAACATAAATTAAGTTCTGTTTATCTTATAGTAACAGGAATGACTTGTATTCCAATACAAATAGAATTTCAAGGGCTTGCTGCCTTTTTTTTCAAAAAGTATTAGTTAACAGAACAGCAGTGAAGTTAACTCTGATTTGAAGAATCTGCACAAATTAACACCTTTCTGAAAGACTTCAGTTCGTAGCCACGTTTGATCATTACTCTATTTTATACCACAATTTTCGTAAGAGGAAAAATAATTTAGAGACTAAATTAATAACAAATAGATTAAGCTAAAGTCTTGAGAAACGCACTGCCTGAAAAACTATCTTGTTACAAAACAGAATTATACACACACAGTACTTGAGGAGAATGCCATTAAGAACCATGCAATTCTAAGGCAGTTAGTAAGCTATGAAAATGTCCACAGTTATGTGCTTATGCATATGTATAGATATACAATAAATGTACATAAAATTCATGGTTCATAACACTTAATGTGAGACATTTATATAGCAGGAATTCCAATTACAACTACTTTTTACAGCACTTAAAAAAGACATTATATTCTCAAACATATCTATAATTTAAACATAATTTCCTAAAATATTTTAGAATCCTCCATATACTCAAGGTCAATGAATCAACAGAAAAATATTAAAATGAACTTTCTGTTCATACGGAAATGTCTTAAAAACATAAAGCAACATGATGTCAACCCCCTTTGACTGCAGTAAAACTATTTTTTAAACGCTCGGTCGCGGGTTGTGTTTCATTGTACTATCCTATTAAAATAGTTACTGTTTAAATAGTTACTGCTTAAAAATATACAAATCCTGTCAGGAGCACTGTTTGTGTGATTTTAGTATGGCACCCAAACCAGACTCACGTTTACCCAAAATTTGTTCCTTCTCATTACAAAGTCTCTTTCTGTTGCTGAACAACTTCTATGTGACAAAGGTCCCGCCCTCATGACTAATCATGGCATGCGATGTTATTATGAACCATGCAGCACGAAAATGATGGCAGAGCAAGTACTTACGGGTACATGGCCATCGTTGTCAGTTTAACAAAGATATCTTTACTGGGTGCATCAGCAGTATTGCAAGTGAAGGCTTGTGGCGGAGGCATTTTATGTTTCCTGCAGAAATCAGCAGGTGAAATACTATAGTCTTGTTTAACTTCATGCAGGTCCGACTTTGCAGCTATGATTAAGCAAGGTGTTCTGCTGTCCATGAAGTGTTGCTATGGGATAAAAACTAAAATCACAATCTGATGACAAGTTAAAAAATTACTACATTTAATTAAATGTGTACTAAAAATTATCTCTGGCTAGGCAAAGCATAGCTTCAGGGAGAAAGTAAACTAAAGGGCAGCGACTAACAGTGGACCAGGCAGTCTCATAAGACCAGGGCCAATTTTCTAACGCTGGTAACTGTACAAATCTGTAACGACTCTTCAGATTCATTACATCTGAAAAAAATTGATATTTTTTATTAAAAAGATACCATATTTTGAAACAAAGAGAAATCCACCTAAATTCCTCTATCCTAGAGCACATTATTTTCATTTTAAAAATTTCTGCTTCACGATTTTATTATTTTTTTACTACTTTCATTTTTCATATCATTAGTCCTTAAGCACATGCATCTATATACATCTTTTTTTTTTTTTAAGATTTTATTTATTTATTTGACAGAGAGAGAGATCACAAGTAGGCAGAGAGGCAGGCAGAGAGAGAGGGGGAAGCAGGCTCCCTGCTGAGCAGAGAGCCTTATGTGGGGCTCGATCCCAGGACCCTGAGATCATGACCTGAGCCGAAGGCAGAGGCTTAACACACTGAGCCACCCAGGCGCCCCTCTATAAACATTTCTATAGCTGCAGTCATGATAGACATAGTCATGTAAAAATATAATACTGAGGGGGGCCTGGGTGGCTCAGTCATTAAGAGTCTGTCTTCAGCTCAGGTCATGATCCCAGGGTGATGGGATTGAGCCCCACATCAGGCTCCCTGCTCAGTGGGTAGCCTGCTTCTCCCTCTCTCACTCCCCATTTGTGTTCCTTCTCTTGCTTTGTCTCTCTCTATGTCAAATAAATAAAGAAAATCTTACAAATAAATAATAAATAAAATAAAAATATAACACTGAACCTTCCATGTTTTCAGAATTCAAAAACCATTATTTTTAATGGCCACTTAACATTCCACCATATCATTCTGTCTTAATTTAGTAAAGCATCCTCCTATTGTTAGGCATCTGGATTATTTCTAGTTTTTTCTTTTAATTAAAAACAATGCTAGAATAAATTCCTTGGTACATACAGTTTTTAACTCCTATAGCATCTTGGTGAAAATCTCAATCTGAGGACTTTTCAAGCCTCTGGTTTTTCCCCTTGTTCTATTATTATTATTATTGGTGTAACTGGCAATATATAATCCATGTACACTACTTTTTTTCAAAAGATTTTTTTTTTTAAGATTTTATTTATTTATTTGACAGAGCAAGAGATAGAGCACAAGTAGGCAGAGCAGCAGGCAGAGGGAGAAGGAGAAGCAGGCTCTTCACTGAGCAGGGAGCCCAATGCGGGGTTCGATCCAAGGACCCTGGGATCACGACCCGAGCCAGAGGCAGACGCTTAACGACTGAGCCACCCAGGCACCCCTAAAAGATATTATTTTTAAGTAATTTCTATACCCAGTGTGGGGCTCAAACTCACAACCCCAAGATGAAGAGTCATGTGCTCCACTGACTGAGACAGTGTGGCACCTCTCCATGTGGATTCCTAATGGCCAAGAAGACCTTCCAGTAATACAGAGGTTCTTAACTATGGATGCACATCAGAGTCACATGTGGAAAAATATTGTTATTTGTATGTATGTATGTATCTATCTATCTATTTATTTTTGGGAAAAAAATGTTTTTAAAATACAGAAGTCTTAGACTCCACCACCTCAGAATGAAATCAAAACCTTTAACGATGGGAGACAAATGTATTTTTCAAAAGCTCTGCAAGTGATTTTCTTATATCTCCCTAGTTAGAAAACACCACATTATATAATTCCATTAACTCCATATAAAGTTACAGCCCAAACCAACAGTTACAGACCAAAAGAACAACAAACCTTAAAAATCCTAGCACAGTATTCAAAGGACTTGGGGTTACTGACGTCATATACCAGGCACACAACATCACAAATGATCTCAGCGTCAGTTAGGAATTCTGATTCGGAGATATCATGTAACTTGTAAAAAGAAAAAGATAATAAGAAACATTAATATTGTAATATTGATGTTTCATTAAAGTCATGATGTGTTATTATTGCTTGACTTCCAAATAAAGTACTTCTAAAAGAAGTTAAGCATAACTTTTCAGGCTATTTTTAGAGATGGGAAGTGTAGATCAACAAGTAGCTTCTGATTTTGTGGACTGACGGTGATTAAGGTTTTCCAGGAGCAAATATTTTAGTGACTGACCTGCTCTAGGCAGGCTGTTTACCCACGTTCTCTACATAGGTAAGATAACAGGCTAAACAGATTAAGTCAACTGCCTAAGATAACACATCTAGCAAGTCATCAGACCAAAATTTGAACTCAAATATGATTTCAAGTCTATTTTCTTTCTACCAGACCACCTTTTCTCCTCACCAATTTAAAAAAACAAAAACAACAACAAAAAGAAAACAAAGAAAAAGACTCTTTACACTAAGGTCATTTTGTTCTACTCCACTGCCTACTCTTTTTTTTTTCCTGCCTACTCTTTTTTAATGTTTATTATAAAACGTCTAAAGAAATGTCACCCCTATGACAATGATCCAGCAAGAGTAAAATTCAGTACTACTGAGTTATTAAAGGCAGTGCACCTATGTCGAGAAGAAGGAAGTACAAGGTCAGAAGTGACTTGATATTTTCCAAATAAAACACAGCATGGATAGTCAGAGGCGTGACAGATACCAATTTACAAAGACAGTATAAGAATAAAAACAGGAATATTCACAGTCAGCTATATTTACTGAGTACGCAGTTAAGTAGAACTATACTTAACAGGAGAAGAATGGGAGATAAACAAGGTTAAATTAGAAACTGACAAAAAAACGTTTATCATAAAAAAAAAAAAAAAAAAAGTTTATCATCAAGAGGGAAAATTGTATGAAATTCAATGTGATCATCTGTCTGGCAGAACAAACTATTTCCAAAAAGAAAAAGGAAGGAAATGAGCTTTTTCTGGTAGCTATTATTTGTTAGGAGCTCCTCAGATTAGCTAGCTTGATAAGAAAGTCAGGCTCAGAGAGGAAGCCACTTGCCTGAGGTCACACAGCTAATCAGTGGTGGATCAGGGTTCGAATCAAACTGTGACTGGATCCAAGAAGAAGACATAATCTCTTTCTACTGTATTTCAGAGTGTCTTTTCAGTCATACACTTCTTTCATCCATGTTTCTAGACTAACACATTTGGTAACTATACTCCTCTCTGCTAAATAGATGAAATTCGATTCAGAGTATAGACAAACTACCAGGCACCTGCAGTGAGGTTTTCATATTAATTTCCAGTCAACAGTAGAGGAAAAAAAAATTTTTTTAAAGAAAAGTGGAAGAAAGAGGAAAGAGAAGGTTTTTTTGTTGTTGTTTTTACTTTCTATTGTGTATAATACACAATTAAGCAAACGAATAGATTAACTTTCACTTATATCTACGCCCATGTGATCACCACACCCATCAGGGGAATTAAAATTAATTCCAATGAATAAACCAGGTGAAAGAAAAAAAAAACACACAAGTTCTACATACAGCCATTATATTAAATGCAATTATGTTTTCAAAGAGTCATATAAAAATATACCTAACAATTAGTAATCTTTATATGCCAGAGAATTTCTTACCAACAAGTATTTCTCTTGTCCATATACATAAACAGTGTTGATCGCATAGTAGGACTTATGATCATCGCGAATCTTCTTCTGCCTCTGAAAACAACCAAAAGTCTCAATATTTACAGTAAGAAATTACAGTACCGAGTCTTCATCAACACCCACTCTGCATGTATGTATGGGTGTGTTATAAATAAAAGGGCATTCTTCCCTACACTATGTATTATTTATCAGTACAAAGGGGACATTGATTGTTTCTTAGTTCTTGAGGTCTAAGACAAAAGATGCATTTGTTCTGCATAAAGTAAAGGAGCAGCTGAAAAGGAAGGAAACTACATTACTGAACGTGTAGTATAGAGCTACCTGCTAGCAATTCTTACACTATGATTTGGTCTGACATGAGACCCATCTGGAGACACATCCAGAAATAGATACAGGACTCAATCGGAAATATTTACTATACTTTGCTTCATGCCAAGCGCCATGGCAGGTGCTTCCACATATGTACTCATTCAACGCCCGCCTAAATACTGCTGAGGAAAAAAGGCAAATGACAGCTCACACCAACGAAACGAAGACAAAGGCAGTTCAACAGGATCGTTGTTACCCTCAGATTGCCCTTCACTAATATACACAGGCCGCTGAGCTCCAGCCATCATCTACAAGACTTAGTGGCTATGAAAAACTCATATAAACTCGTGACTATACAAATCTGTTGGATAAAGCTCTATTATCTGAGAATTCTCACCATTAAGTTTCTTCCAAGAAGAGCCTGAAGAACGCCACTCTTCCCACAGTTTTTCATCCCAATTACATTACATCTGAACACATTTCTTTGAGTCTGTTTTTTCTGAAGGTCTATCTTTTTATCTCTTGTTACTAAGAAGAAAGAAAAAATAATCATATACCATTGAGACTCGCTGCACCTCCATTTCACTTTCTGCGAAATAGTATACGGGATTTCTCATTTTTATGAAGTGTATGATGAATAAACAGACACACTGCGCAAGAGCCATGCTGTATGTGAAACCAAGCACTAAATATACGGGAGGGCTTCACTTGGTAGAAAAGATGTACTTCGGAAAGCTGGCTGTAAAGACAACTTCTGGTAACCAAATGACATTTATTCATCACGAAATAAGTAGCACACTTTCATAAGCAAAATTATATCCTAAAAATGAATGAAAATTACAGTGAACATAGCCAACGTTATGTCCCATCTACTTTCTTCTGTAATAAATAACTGTCACAATAAATTATAAATTAAAAGATGCTATCTCTAATCTGCACACTCTTGAATTTGTAAATGGATAAGGGATATGCACTCGGGTTCACTGGCTTTCAAATGTAAATCTGTAAAAGAGGCACAACAGAAAACAATGCTCCCAACAGCAGAGCAAGGGCACCTCTCTTCCAGAGGTAAAGAGACCTCCTTAAGCTGTACCCCAAAATTCAACTATAACAAAACTCACCAGAGGCACTATTTACGGTAGCCAAAAACTGAAAATGATAAAAAACATACAACAATCATGGGACAGTTAAATAAGTTACATAACATCCTTATGATGACACACTACTGAACATTAAAGATACATAAAACTAGGGCGCCTAGGTGGCTCAGTGGGTTAAAGCCTCTGCCTTCGGCTCAGATCATGATCCCAGGGTCCTGGGATTGAGTTCCGCATCAGGCTTTCTGCTCAGCGGGGAGCCTGCTTCCTCCTCTCTCTGCCTGCCTCTCTGCCTACTTGTGATCTCTGTCTGTCAAATAAATAAAGTCTTTAAAAAAAAAAAAGATACATAAAACTATACTTATTGACAGAGCAAGATGGCCACAATATTTTGTGAGAGTGAAAGAACCTCATGCTAGCTAGGAATTCGTTTCTTGCTCTTTGGTGCTGAATTAAATACTGTCTAATGGGTTAACTACTTTAAAGGATACTTGCTCTGTCGGTGATTGTCTTTGGGGTGCCTGGGTGACTCAGTGGGTTAAGCATCTGCCTTCAGCTCAGGTCATGGTCCCAGGGTCCTGGGATCGACCCCTGCATCGGGCTCCCTGCTCAGTGAGGAGTCTGCTTCTCCCTCTCCCTCTGCCTGCCCCCCTGCTCATGCTCTCTCTCTCTCTCTTGCTCTCTCTTAAATAAACAAAATCTTAAAAAGAAAAAAAATGATTGTCTTCTTATGCTAGGACCTCCTGTAAGATATGGCATTTCCCCCTACCAACTGGGATATAAGAAAATCTTGAAACAATCCATCCCCTAATTTGTTATTTCCATACCTATGGGTATTCTTTAAGTGGAGCACACTGCCTAACAAGAATTATAAAGTCTGGGAAAGATTTCCTAATGTAGAAAATGGTTACAAAACCAAAAGATACACAATTAGTTCAGTATTGGGATTATGTGTTAATAGGTATTGTTTTTAATGTCTAAAGAAAATGAAAAGACAAGATAAACTGGCACATTAAAATACATTTAATGCCCATAGCCCTCCCTGATGTTCATCAGTGGAGTGTCCTCAGGGGTAAGCTAGAAGTAAAACCTCTTCTCTTTCTTTTCTTTTTTTTTTTTAAGTATTTTTTATAAAATATTTTATTTATTTATATGAGAGAGAAAGAATGAGAGAGGGGTGAGGGACAGAAGAGGAAGCAGACCCTCTGCTGAGCAGGGAGCCTGACTCGGGGTTCGATCCCAGGACTCTGGGATCATGACCTGAGCTGAAGACAGACACTTAACCAACTGAGCTACCCAGGTGCCCATACTCTTTCTTTCTTGATTAACAGTAAAATCAAGGCTCTGAACTCAAAAGAAATGACCAAATGACTGAGAGAACAGAGGACAATCATGGAAGACTAATGAAGAGGAGTTTATTTTCACCCTTTTCACACACGAACCCGGAATATTTAAAAAATGTTTCTTAGCATGAACTGCGTACTATCCCGATACTTACCTGTAATGGCAGAAGCCTGAGACTCTTGCTCTGTCAATATAGAATAGCCTAGATAGCCCAAATACTCCAGGCATCGCTGGACGTCTAAGTAGGTCGTGAGCCTAAGAAAGGGAGGAGGTGGACATGTGAAAAGTTCCTAAAGACCATTTATAGGAAAAAAAAAAAAAATACCAACAGCTCAAATAATCTTACCACCAGACCCAGATAATTTCTGTCACACTTCTTTTAATTTCCCATGTGCCCAACCATGGGTTTCCCTACACCGCCATTTTTCAGGAAGAGAAGAGAGGGAGGGGATGCAAGACCGGCAGGGGTAGAGTGGGATTCCTATACCTATGCAGAGATGAGCAATGAGATGCTGGTAAAATCTACAGTAAGGATATTTTATACTGGCCACTTCCCAAGAGACACAGCGTACTGCAAATACTGGTGGGTTGCAGACCTGATAATTCAATCTGAAAAGGTTTGCAAAAGGCGTAAAAATAACTGAAAGGCACTTGAAATTAGTTAAGCCTTCTTGTGACATGAAAAAGGAACAGTCCCTGGTGCTGGGAAAGTTAGTCTCACCAAGGCTTAAGTAGTGATATCATCACGGGCGACCAGAGGATGTCCTTAGTGCCCTGGATGCAATGCCAACTACGCTGTGAGTAGACCGTAGAGGAACCCCCATTAAGAAGAGCAGTAAAGGGGTGCCCGGGTGGCTCAGTGGATTAAGTCTCTGCCTTCGGCCCAGGTCGTGATCTCACGGTCCTGAGATCGAGCCCCGCATCGGGCTCTCTGCTCAGCGGGGAGCCCGCTTCCTCCTCTCTCTCTCTCTGCCTGCCTCTCTGCCTACTTGTGATCTCTGTCTGTCAAATAAATAAATAAAAATTAAAAAAAAAAAAAAAAGAAGAGCAGTAAAAACAAACCACCACCAAAAAACCCCTCAAGTGTTCAGCATCAAGTAAAACATGCTCTCCCCATATTCTGGAAGTGTAAGAACTGTGTAATAGCAATGAGGTTTCCAACTCCTTCAATCAAAAAAGCATTAAAATCTAGTTCAGTTTTGATGAGAGACTTATTACTGTTTCCCTGTACATCATCCAAAAGCAAACACAAGCTTCCTGATACATTGACAGAACATCTAAAGTTCACCGTAGACACAGCAGCAGCACGATAAATCCTGCCCACAGGCAGTTATGACTGAAGCATTCGGTAAGACCTAACCAACTTACAGAATGATGAATATGACACATCATAATTTTAAACTGGCTGTAACTAAAGGAAAACAGGTGAGCTCTGTACTCACGTCCACTGGGAAAGAAATCCCTGGTAAGTTATCCAGCCTCTTTCATTTGTACAAACTGTGTTATTCACATCTGGCCCCCACGGTATGTAAGGGAAAACTTTAAACAAATCTTTAAGCTCATCAGGTGACAAAGCACAGTCTCTATCCTGAGGATACACAAAGAAGTATACAAAATGTTTAGATATCTAAGAGAATAATTCCCACACACAGAGCCCCCAGCCTAGTAAAGCTACGCTTCTAAAAACAAATGAAATTTTACATTTTCTGAAGAAAATTCCTCTCACGTATTAAGAAAACCTATATAAAAATCCATCAGAAACTAGATTTTTTCATCTTGAGAAAATAATAAAATAAACAGAACTTTTGCTACTCTAGCTTAAGAAGTTTGAGCAATTTTTGTCTATGTGACATGAGCATCCCCTAGCTCAGGGAACAGTCAAATCATTTACCAAAAAAATATTATTACAATCATGGCAAACTGTGGCTAAAAGCTTACCAAATCGTGCTTGTCAAAGGTGCTCTGCAGAAACAAATATGCATGATGATTTAATTCAGTAGTACAATCAGGAGGTATTTTTAGCCTATTGACAAAAGAAAGTTTAAGAGTAAAATAAATCATTAACCAAGTATTAAAATTTAATTTAAGAAACAAATATAAAGGGGCGCCTGGGTGGCTCAGTGGGTTAAAGCCTCTGCCTTCGGCTCGGGTCATGATCCCAGGGTCCTGGGATCGAGCCCTGCATTGGGCTCTCTGCTCAGCAGGGAGCCTGCTTCCCCCTCTCTCTCTGCCTGCCTCTCTGCCTACTTGTGATCTCTGTCTGTCAAATAAATTAAAAAAAAAAAAAAAAGAAAGAAAGAAACAAATATAAAACTGCAACAAGTCTTTTTTTGTGGGATGATAGCATCTATAAAATACCTTTGCTGAAGCCATTTAGACCTTCCCAGGGAAAGTCAATGGGGCAGAATGGCCATTCTCACAAGAGCGGCAGTAACACTCATTCTGACCTGACATATGAAGTTTTCTTAAATTTCTGAAGGGCAGGTTGAAATAAAAATTTTACAAGTAACACCGATTACCCTGTAATGGGTTTGCTCTTCTTGTAAACAAACTGTAAGTCCTAACTATGGCTTATGTCAACATTATAATGAGCTGAGAATGATGGAAAGAGGTTATTTCTGCCTGATTTGTCCTTTGACCCATCCTAAGTTCAGTTCAATCAAAGGCACTGAGTTAGTGCACAAAGCTAGTGTCCCTAGTACACAAAAACAAGACCGGCTCCCTACCCCTAGGGAACCACATTTAAGTAGGAGACGGACCACAGACAATCTCACTACTGCAACAGAATGAGGCAAGTGGTGGATATGGGTAACAAGGACGCTACAGGGGCCCGCACGGAAAGGGACATCTCTGGCATGGGGGTGGGAAGGTGTCAGAGACACTATCACCTGACTTGCAGACTTGAAGGATAAAAGGCAATAATTAGGTTGGGAGAGAGAGAGGGGAAAAGTGAGAATCCCTGGGCAAAAGCCTGGAGTCCAAAACAACAGATGATTGGTAGACTGTAAGCAGTTTAGTAGTAGTATTTACTTCTAGAATGAAGGCAGGAAGTGAAGCATGAGCAGAGCAGATCATGAATGACCTTGTTTAACATGTTAAGAAGCCTGAGCTTTATCCTGGCTCTATGGGAAGTGACATGGGCAAATCTGTATTTATGTATCTACTAATCTAGTAGCAGTATGAAGGACAGAAGGAGACAGTTTAATAAGGCTAGAGAGATTCAAGTGGTAGCTCTACGAGGCTATTCTATAGAAAATGAAAGGCAGACAGCATAAAGAAACTGAGAATTGTTAGTGTGAGCCACAAAGCCCTAAGCAAGTTTTCTTACTGGAGTATTCTTACTGTCTTACTTAAGAAAGTAATGAGCAACTTCCTGTAGAATTTACCTATCCATGTTAATGGCACAGAAAAGAAAACCTGACAAAGGTCCTGGGACAAATTCATTCATTCAATACACTTTTTGCTCAAAACTTTGGGAAATTCCTTGAGCCAAGATTTAGTAACCAACAAGAGAAGTTTCAACTTAGACCTGATTCATGGACCAGAAAGAACATTGCTTTCACCACGATGATGATAAATGAAAAAACAAGAGTCTTTCTGAACCCTTACATAGACAGCTAGGGGTGCTATGCTAAAAGAAAAAGGGACAATATGAAGACAATGTGCCAAGGGAAAGTAGAGAAGAAGGGCTGAAGACCCAAAAGGCCAGATATGGCGATGTCACTTTCCTGAAAAGCTTCCCTCCCTAGGGTACGGGACAAGCAATACACAGCAAAGCAGTCTCCTGTTTCAGGTGACACCGGGTCCGTTTTAAACAAACACAACTGACACACAGCATTCTCAGAAGAAAATAACCACAAACAGAACCACAAAACTCCTTAACAGGCTATTTAGGAAATATTAACTTCTTTCGTCCAGAGCTAAGAAAAGGCTGTAAGACTTACAGAGGAAAAGGACTAAGGGAAAGAAGTGAACCAATATACTCTTGACGTCTTGACTCCAAATGCAAGTCTGTCCAGCATTTGTCATCTCCTTCCTCAGTAAGATGAGTAAAAAAAGATACTCTTATTCCCCATGAGAAGAGGAGGAAAAATTTATGCCATGCTATAAATCAGGGGCTCTCAACTGGGGATGATTTCATTCCTGAAGGAACATTTGGCAACTTCTAGAGACATTGGACATGTTCAGTTGTCAGAGCTGGGGGAGGAGGTGTTACTGGCAACTAAGGACGTGCTAAACATCCTATAAGACACAGGGCAGACTCTACATCAAAGAACTGTCTGGTCCAAAACGTCAATAGTGCCAAGGTTGACAAATCCTGCTATAAAACTCTCTATAAGTCTAAATTAGTTCTGAGTAGCTCAAAGCCTACCTAAACTGTGCGCTAAATAAAATTTTAAAAATACTTGGCAGGCAAACTCAATTAGAAAGCCAAAGGTACATACAAGGGGAATAAATACTCGGGTGTCAAATCCAGATCATCGTCATAACCAAATCGTCGAAGCACAGTCCAAGTAGTTTCATGTCTCCCTCTCTGGATAAAAAGTGTATGTAAAAAAAGAAAACCTGAAATAAAATAAATCAGTAAGTACAGGAGATGTGAATAAGGGTACAAAGTCACAAGGGAGAAAAGCGTGTAACATGTAATGGCAAGAGCTAGAATCATGAACATAGGCATACAGCTTTGCACACCAAAGGTCAAATCAAAGCAAAGTTCATAAATCTTTCAATGAAACAGAGCTGACTTCAGAATCCTTTCCCATATACACCCAAGTCAGCAAGAGAGAGCAATGGATAAAAGGGCCAAAAATGCATCCCAAGGAATACACTGACATTCCCAAAGTTACATGATAAAAATAAATGAAGTTGTTTTAAAGATTTTTGAACTCATTTCTATAATGGAAAACAGTGCTTTTCAATTTCATCTCTTATTTCACTGTGGCGCTACAGTATGTTCTACAAGGAACATTCTGTACTTGGTAAATGTGACTGGTAGACAAAATGTCTGCCTTGAAAATAATTTATACTTAAAGGATGCTTTTACATAGTAAGAATTTTAAGATAAATTTGTCCCAGAAATCTCAGCCCCTCAAATGGACCTCTGCATTCCCTAAGATCTAGCAATTTCCCCACCTCTAATTTATGCTGACAGTAAGGATAATTATCTCCATCAATGGCTTATCTCTTCTAACTCTTAATAACCAAGTCAGATCTTAAGCCTATCAGTAAATACTAATATTTCCTCTTAAAGTATACATAATGCTAAGACCTTCACCTTATGCCGAAGTTTGAAAACATCAAGTTAAAAGGCGGGAAAACACCATCCACTCACCTTTCAATGTCAATCCACTATCAGCCACACCATCACTTATATGTTTTCGGACTACATTCTTGACATCTTCCAGAGCCTGGGGAGCTAATGGAGTATTGAAACAAATTCTCTAGTAAAAAACATAAAAATAAATTTAAAAACAAAACAGCATTAAAACCACACATAATACAAAACATTATTCTACAAAACAACACTAAATCCGTTGTAATAACAACAACAAACCAAATTCTAAATTAGAATAGGATCATCTCTGCTTTGCATTATTTATTTAAAACATGTCATATGTAGAAGGAAAGAAACTTTCCCTACTCTCTCCATAGCATTTCTAAAACACAGAGCTCTTTGTGTACCCATGTTATACAAAACCAAGAAAGAAAAGATAACTCGGAGTTCAAACTTCAAGTCATCTTTAATGCATCCACTGTATCCCATGAAATGACACACGGTCAAAGAGTCCCCTCAATTCCTGTGCGTAAGAGAGTTTTATACCCCAGGTGAAGATTTAACTAGCTTGATGGGAAAGACAGTTTTACATGAAAGAGACATGCTTATCAACATAACACTGTTTAAGCTAATAATATTGTTAGAACTTTTCTCAACAAGAAACCCCCCAAGATATAGAAATGCCTGAAGAAGAGGGCTACCTGGAAGAAGTTGAGTTCGGCATCATTGAGAGTACCATCATTATCTTGATCAGATATTTTAAATATGCGGGTAAGGGCTTTTATACAGGCTGGTTTCATCTATACATCATTGAGAAAAGAAACAATTATGTTAATCAAGATAGTTGGGAATTCAAAATATGGCTTTCGTAAATAATGTTAAGAATAATTCTGGGGCGCCTGGGTGGCTCAGTGGGTTAAGCCTCTGCCTTCAGCTCAGGTCATGATCTCAGGGTCCTGGGATCGAGCCCCTGCTTTCCCCTCTCTCTCTGCCTACTTGTGATCTCTCTCTCTGTGTCAAATAAATAAATAAAATATTAAAAAAAAAAAAAGAAGAATTCTGAGAGGTGCCTGGGTGGCTCAGTCATTAAGCATCTGCTTTTGGCTCAGGTCATGATCCCAGGGTCCTGGGATTGAGCCCCGCATAGGGCTCTCTGCTCAATAGAGAGCCTGCTTCTCCCTCTCCCGGTCCCCCTGCTTGTTCTCTTTCTCTGTCAAATAAATAAATAAAATCTCTATTTTTTTTTTCTTAAAAAAAGACAAAAGAGTATTTATTAAATGAGCCATAAGCTAGAAAGTCTACAATTATGGGTGATTTTTTTTTTATGGGTGATTTTTTACTTAAAGAATGGTAAGATATAACTTCTATAAATGGGATCCAAATATTAGATATTCAAAATTAATAAAGATGATATCCTGGGGCGCCTGGGTGGCTCAGAGGGTTAGGCCTCTGCCTTTAGTTCAGGTCATGATCTCAGGGTCCTGGGATCAAGCCCTGCATCAGGCTCTCTGCTCAGCAGGGAGTCTGCTTCCCCCACCCTCTCTGCCTGCCTCTCTGCCTACTTGTGATCTCTCTCTCTCTGTCAAATAAATAAATAAAATCCTTAAAAAAAAAAAAGGTAATTTGAAGAAAAATGAAATGATGCAATTTTCATTAAAGTTTGAAATGCATCAGAAGCTAAAGTCGTCTAGGACGCCTGGGTAGCTCAGTCGATTAAGTGCCTGCCTTCGGCTCAGGTCATGATCCCAGCATCCTGGGATCCAGTCCTTCACTACACTCCTTGCTGAGCAGGGAGCCTGCTCCTCCTTCTGCCTGCCGCTCCCCCTGCTTGTGCTCTTTCTCTGACAAGTAAATAAAATCTTAAATAAAAATTAAAAAAAAGTAAAAAAAAAAAAAGTAAATAAAATCTTAAATTAAATTGAAAAAAAAAAAGAAACTAAAGTGGTCTAAGCTATTGGCTCAATAAGGTATTTAAATAGTAACTACTTTAAAATATAACACCAAAATTTACTATGTTTAAAATGTATTAAGAATTCTATCTCAGTGTGCCTGGGTGGCTCAGTGGGTTAAGCCACTGCCTTCGGCTCGGGTCATGATCCTAATATCCTAGGATCGAGTCCCACATTGGCTCCTTGCTCAGCAGGAAGCCTGCTTCTCTCTCTGCCTCTTCCTGCCACTCTGCCTGCTTGTGCACGCTCTCTCTCTCTGACAAATAAATAAATAAAATCTTCAAAAAAAAAAATTATATCTCAACAAGGCTGTAAAAAATTTAACAGTAATAAAAAATTCATTTTGCATATGAGTAGTTGAAACCCTCACACAATAAACATTATCATACAAGTCACATCTTTTTCATTATTAGGTAAGCAGAGGACTCCATGGGCCATACAGAGTCCATCATCACTGGAATTAATTTTGAATTAATCATCAGGCTTTAATCTTTAATATTATTTTTTTTAATGATTCCACCTCAAATCTGTGTTAAAAGGTTTTTCTGTTTACATTTATTTATTTTTGAGAGAGAGAGAGCATGTACACACGTGTGAGCCCACGACCTGGGGTGGAGGGGCAGAGGGAGAGAGAGAATCTTAAGGAGGCTCTGTGCTGAGCTCAGAGCTGGACCAGGGCTAGATCTCACAACCCAGAGCTGAAATCAAGAGTAGGAGGCTCACCCTATCGAGCCACCCACCTGCCCCCTGTGCTAAAAGTCTATTGTTGGGGCACCTGGCTGGCTCAGCTGGAGGAGGGTACAGCTCTTGATCTCAGGGTCATGACTTCCAGCCCCATGCTGGGTATAGAGTTTACTTAGGACAAAAAAAAAAAAAAAAAAGAGTTTATTATTGTTGTCTACAAAAATGTTTCTGGTATAAGCTTAGACACAAAGTTTATACTTGTCTAAGACAAGGTTTAGTCTTAGTTACACACAAGGTAAAAGTTACACATTTTACCTCAGGCAGGTCCCCCTAAGAAACAAGTAACAGATGGTGGCAAAAGTTTTAGTCTCGGTCTAGGGAAGGAGCAGGGACGATAAGCAGATTAGGAGAGCTAATAATAGGCCTAGGAAAAAAGTAGCAATTAAAGCACTGAGAACAAACCAATAGAGGGGATTTAATTTACCTAGGCCAAGGACTCAGGTAAATCTGCATAGTATGAGACTTTCCCAAATTTCCTTGAGCATAAGATAATGTACCTGGCTGAATCAGAATGGAATTGGTGTTTTTAACAAGTGTGCCTAGTAACTATTATGAGGCAAATTAGGGAAATACTGGACTAAGAGTAAACTAGGAAGCACTCCAATTATGGAACAGTAAACCAGGATTAAGGAAAAGTAAATCAGGGTCAGATTAAAGGATAACTCAGATTAATTACTCATACCGGGGTCAGCACTTTTTCTGTGAAGAGCCACACAGCAAGTACTTTAGGCTTTGGGGGCCAATAGGCAAAATCAAGAATATCATGTAGGTATTTATTTATCATTTTTTTAAAAAAGATTTTATTTATTTATTTGACAGAGGTCACAAGTAGGCAGAGAGGCAGGCAGAGAGAGAGAAGGGGAAGCAGGCTCCCCGCTAAGCAGAGAGCTGGACATGGGGCTCCATGCCAGGACCCTGGGGCCATGACCCGAGCCAAAGGCAGAGGCCTCAACCCACTGAGCCACCCAGGCGCCCCTCATGTAGGTATTTATATCTTATATAGCAAAAGAGAATCAAATTTCCATCAAGTTTTTACTGACAGAATTCAAAATGTAACAATAACGGAGTATATATTTGCTATACAGGTCTACTACTAAGAAAAACAGAATTCTTTTTGGAGGAGTAACGTTTTGTTTAATTAGGGTTCAGTTAGTGTTCTCCATCATGAAGACTGAGGATGTTCGTCTGTTAATGCTGATCTGCAATGAGATTTCACATATTTCATCTTTGAAAATCATTTTGTAGATCCATATGGCCAATACTGACACATATCCATAAACAGAGCATTTTAATGGAGCACATTAACTGCTTTGAAGGCACTTACAAAATTAGATTATTTTCTTGATATTTTCCTCTTAGCACGTCATTCCACTACAGACTAATCAGTTCCGACTGAAGGTTGGGTGGAAGCTCAAGTGCACAGTCAAATGGGTTACAAACATGGAAATCTCCTTTGCATTTGCATCAAGGTTCCCCAACAAAAACAATTCGAGGGGCGCCTGGGTGGCTCAGCGGGTTAAGCCTCTGCCTTCAGCTCAGGTCATGATCTCAGGGTCCTGGGATCGAGCCCCGCATTGGGCTCTCTGCTCTGCGGGAAGCCTGCTTCTCCCTCTCTCTGCCTGCCTCTCTGCCTACTTTTGATCTCTCTCTCTGTCGAATAAATAAAATCTTTAAAAAACAATAACAACAAAAAACGATGCGAGAACTGGAGTTTGAGCTCGGAAAATCTGTCTGCTTTGCTCTGGCACGTAGGTAATGCACAGATGATAAAACACTAAGATGCTCAGGTGCCGGTGCCCACGGTACTCATGCCGTTAAGTCATAATGGCGTCGGCGCGCTCAGCGGTGCGCACACAGCAGGGGGAGGGGAGCACACCACACGAGGGCTCTGCTGCAGCTACTGGTGCCTTTGCAGCACGAAAGCAGTCACAGACAAACAGAAAAGGACAAGTATGGCCGTGTCACAGGAAAATGTTATTCATGAACGATGAAACTGGAAAGTCATCGAATTTTCCCATATAACAAAATATTATTTCTTCAGATTTTTTTTCCCAAACAGTGAAAAACGTGTAGTAAATAAATTCTAAGCTCACAGGCTGTACAAAAACAGGTGGCAGGCCAATTTGGTCCATAAGCCAAAACCTGGCAGCCACTCACCAATACTATAAACTTTCCCTGGAAAAAATGTGCAACTTTTATTTTTTAAAAACTCAACAAGAAGGTAATTCAGGGGCGCCTGGGTGGCTCAGTGGGTTAAGCCTCTGCCTTCAGCTCAGGTCATGATCTCAGGGTCCTGGGACTGAGCCCCGCATCAGGCTCTCTGCTTAGTGTGGAGTCTGCTTGAGGATTCTCTCTCTCCTCTCCCTCTGCCCCTCTCCCCAGCTTGGGAGTGAGTGCACACCCATGCACGGTCTCTCTCTCTGTGTCTCTCAAATAAATAAATAAATCTTAAAAAAAAAAAAGTCTATGGCAAATAGGTGAAGGGGATTAAGGGTTCATTCATTCAACCATTCATTTTAAAATATTTTATTTATTTATATGACAGAGATAGAGAGAGCATGTGAGAGCACAAGCAGGGGGAGTGGCAGAGGGGCAGGGAGAAGCAGAATCCCCGATGAGCAGGGAGCCGGATGCAGGGCTCAATTCCAGGACCCAGGGATCATCACCCAAGCCAAAGGCAGAGGCTTAACTGACGCCACCCAGGTACCCCAAGGCTACATTTACTATGATGAGTACGGAGTAACATAAAGAACTTCTGAATCACTGTATTGTATATTTGAAACTAATACATCACTGTACATTAATTATACTGGAATTAAAAAACAAATACATAAGTTCTTTTAAAAAGACAAAAGTCTATGGGGCGCCTGGGTGGCTCAGTGGGTTGAAGCCTCTGCCTTCGGCTCAGGTCATGAACCCAGGGTCCTGGGATTGAGCCCCGCTTCGGGCTCTCCGCTCAGCGGGGAGCCTGCTTCCCTTCCTCTCTCTCTGCCTGCCTTTCTGCCTAGTTGTGATCTCTGTCTGTCAAATAAATAAATAAAATATTAAAAAAAAAAAGACAAAAGTCTATAGCAAATATTGCTAAATTTTAGATATTACTGTTTTTTAGCTATGAAACAGAAAGGATTATTCAAATTGTGTTACATGCTGTACCCGTGTAAATTGATTACACAAGGTTTTCTCTCTCTCTTTTTTTTTTTTTTTTTTAAGATTTTATTCATTCATTTGACAGAGAGAGATCACAAGTAGGCAGAGAGGCAGGCTCCCTGCTGAGCAGAGAGCCTGACGCAGGGCTCAATCCCAGGACCCTGGGATCATGACCTGAGCCGAAGGCAGAGTCTTTAATCCACTGAGCAACCCAGGCGCCCCTACACAAGGTTTTCATTCGTGTGTTTTTAAGTCTGTGAACTTTACACTAGCAAAATAAGTAGGCTATTAGGTAAATCTTCAGACTTTGCTATTTGTTTTTAAAGATTTATCTATTTATTTATTTATCTGACAGAGAGAGAGAGAGAGATACAAGTAGGCAGAGAGGCAGGCAGGGGTCGGGGGTAGCAGGCTCCCTGCTGAGCAGAGAGCCTGATTCAGGGCTTGATCCCAGGACCCTGAGATCATGACCTGAGCAGAAGGCAGAGGCTTTAACCCACTAAGCCACCCAGGCGCCCCCCGCTGCTGTTTGTTTTAATTGCATTTCCTGAAATACTATTTGACCTGGAATACTATTCACAGTATTTAACATGAATGTCTTTGAAATATCTAGAAAAATTGTTTTTGGATTTTTTTTTTTTTTAAAGATAAGGGCTTTTTTTTTTTTTTTTTTTAAAGATTGTATTCATTCATTTGTCAGAGAGAGCACACGCAGGGGGAACAGTATGCAGAGCAGGCAGAGGGAAAAGGAAGGTTCCTCGCCAAGCAAGGAACCCGATATAGGGCTCAATCCCAGGACCCCGTGATCATGACCAAAGCCGAAGGCAGATGCTCAACCAACTGAGCCCCCCAGGAGTCCCCTAATTGTTTAACAGACAATAAATTTAAATTTCAGCAGTTTAGAAGAATACTCAAGAGTTACTAAAAATCACTACTAGAGTTACTACCTACATATTCCAGCCCCTACTACCACAGCCTGGGGAGCAGGGGTTTACCTCCTTCTCCTCTGGGCAGTACAGGGGCCCTGTAGGATGAAGAACAGCTTTCTGCGCATAATAAAAGAGCTCTGATATGTTCTTCAGGTTTTTTGCTGAACACTGAAAAAAAAAGTTTAAAATGTTATATTCTGAAAGCAATGACAGGAGCTAAAAACAATTTTTAAACTATCGATATAAGGTAATAACAAGATTGCTTGAAGAAAGAGAAAAACTTTTCTTTGTTGAAATCACAGTATTAATGTCTACAAACGACTCAGAAGCCAATTCTGGATTCTCTTTTGTATTTGGTTTACATGACTTCACAAACAGCAGGAAATGTATTCCATCCCACACCTTCTCACATCCTATTTTAAACCACAGTTTAGTGAGAATTCATCAGCAGTACATTTCTAAATCAAATGGTAAGGCATACCTCCACACAGGTTTCAATTTCTGTGTACTGGTTCATAATGGGAAGGATGGTCTCCATACTACTGTATTCTACCAGATCAGATTTGTTCCCAACCAAAATCAAAGGCAGTCTGAAAAAGCAGGATATATTGCAATAATAAGGAAAGCAGAAGACCTAAAATATCTATTTTAAAGTGTATAATAACCATTCTAATTAACTTCACTTAATCCCCCAACATGAACCTGCTACTGTAGTCAGTTCCAGTCCCCTAGACAGCATGTTCATGTTCAACAAATATTTACTAAGTACTTTTTAAAAAAATTTTGGAATTTATTTTCTTTAGTAATCTCTACACCTGACCTGGGGCTTGAACTCACGACCCCAAGATTAAGAGTCATATGCTCTTCTGACTGAGCCACCAGGCACCCCTACTGAGTATTTCTTATAAGCCAGGTACTGTTCTAAGCATGAAGCAAGACAGACAAGGTCCCTGCCCATTCTAATAGTGAAAAATCAGAAAATGGACAATAAGCAAATAAACAATACACTTTCCAATTCCTTAAGTGCAATGAAGAAAGTAAATAGGGGGATATGGAATAGTCATGGGAGGGGGCTAATTATATGGCAATCAGGAGAAAATCTCTCTGACAAGGTGGCATCTGAGCCAAGGAATAGAGGATGAGACGGAATGGGCCCTGTGAAGAGGAAGGAAAGAGCTATGCAAGAAGGGACAGTGTACACAAAGGGCTCAAACTGAAAACACACCCTGGTGAGTCCAAAGAACAGAAAACTATAAGAGGGTGGAGAGTACTAAGCAAAGGGAAAGAGGTATGTAAAGGGGCTGGAAAGCAGAGCAAAGGCCAGACACACAAGCTGCAGTAGGGAGTGTGCATTTTATTGTAAGTGTAAAACAGGAAGCCAGTGAAGAATTAGGAATAGGGACGCAAATATGATCTGATCAACATTTTATTTTTTTTTTAAACATTTTATTTATTTATTTGACAGAGAGAGAGATCACAAGTAGGTAGAGAGGCAGGCAGAGAGAGAGGGGGAAGCAGGCTCCCTGCTTAGCAGAGAGCCCGATGCGGAACTCGATCCTAGGACCCTGAAATCATGACCTGAGCTGAAGGTAGAGACTTAACCCACTGAGCCACCCAGGTGCCCCTGATCAACATTTTAAAACGAGTCATATGTTGCCTTTTGGAGATACAGATTGAAATACTGACAATATGATTTGTTCAAAACGATCCTAATGGGAGGAGTAAGAAATGAAACAAGACTGGCCATGAAGTGACAACTGTTGACGCCGGTGACAGATACAGAGGGAATCATTAGACAATCTTCTCTACTTTTGTATGTGTCTGAATTTTTTTCAATAATAAAAAGCTTTTTAAAATGTGGTAGCGGATTAGGACAGTGAAGATGGAGAGAAAGTATTCAGATTTGAGGTGTATATATATATATTTTTTAAAGATCTTATTTATTTGAGACAGAGAGAGTGAGCACAAGCATGGAGAGCAGCAGGCAGAGAGAGAAGGAGACACAGGCTCTCTGCTAACCCTGCCTAATGCAGGGCTTGATCCCAGGATCCCAGGATCATGACCTGAGCTGAAGGCAGAGGCTCAACAGACTGAGCCACCCAGGTGCCCCTGGAGATCAATTTTAGAAGCAGAACTGATAGGAACAAGTGGTAGATTAGATATGGAGATTGAGGGCAAGGCAGAAACCAAGAAAAATATATAGGTTTTTGGCTGGACAAAATAAGTAGATCTCCTGAGTCACAAAAGACTGATTCGGGGGCGAGGGGGACAGTGGGGAGTAGGCAGGGAATTAAGGATTTTGTGTCTGACAGGCCTATCAGAAATCTAAACGGGGATTATCAAAGAGAGCTAGTCTAGTAGGGAACTGTTATTTGTACATCCTGCAAGAGAGCTTGGAGAAAAAGCAAATCATCTTGCTGGAACTCCGGAGAGCAAGAGAAATTCTTAAGTGCATTTATTTATGTGCCCCCACCCCCCAGCATGGTTATGGGTAAAAGGACTGGCCCATTATATAACCCAAATATACATTCCTAATAAAGACAGGAGGGTCTCCAAAAATGTAGTGGTTTGCAATTAAAGGTGTACAGAAATAATTTATGGAGCTTCAAAAAATACGTATGTCCAAGCTCTACTCCAAACTTACAGATTCTAAAACTCCAGGGGTGGGGAAAAGGCACCTATATTCTTTGAAAGCACTTCAGCTGACAGTGATGGGCATCCCTGATTAAGAACCACTGTGACGGGCGCCTGGGTGGCTCAGTGGGTTAAAGCCTCTGCCTTCAGCTCAGGTCATGATCCCAGGGTCCTGGGATGGAACCCCGAATCGGGCTCTCTGCTCAGTGGGGAGCCTGCTTCCCCCCGACCCCGCCTGCCTCTCTGCCTACTTGTGATCTCTCTCTCTGTCAAATAAATAAATAAAATCTTAAAAAAAAAAAAAGAACCACTGTGACTGCTAGTTACGAGGAATAATGAAAAAAATTCATAGATATTCCCTAGAGGAACAAAAATTCTTTGAAGTTAGTAGAATCTATACGTATGATATGTGAGTCTCTTAGGAAGCAAGTCAAATAGGAATGTTACAGGAAATAGGGGGAGATCTTCTATAATTTCCCAAGTTAAGCCACGTGGGTTGACTGCATCTATACCCAAAGCTGATGCTGAAGTGCCTTCATAACCCGATCTCTTTAAATGGGCCTTTGTAATAGTAGAGCATGAATCATGTCTCATTAGTTTTTTAATCTTCAGAATCATTAATATCTGGCTAATGGTATTTTACTAAATAGATGTTTGTTAAATGAAGGTTCTTCCTTCTCAGCAAAAAATGATTTGTATTTCCATAACCACAGGATGAATGTAGGAGTATGAGTGTGTATACATACAGAAGAAGGTGGGGAAAAGGGTGGCCTATCTCCCCCCCAATCTTCCAAAAGAGGAAAAATATTGAGATTTGACAACCTGTCACAAATTCGGGAGATTAACAAACTATGGAAGCATTTTAGTTATGTCAGGCTTGTGCATCTTCTTACTGTATGTAATTGTGCTGTTTTCTGTTTTATAGTTTCAGAAATTACTTACCTGTATTTATTAAACATACTTATTCCAATTAAAAAAAAAAAGGACGACTGTGACAACAGTGCATGAAAGTCCTACCGAAAATACATGTGCAACAAACATAAACTTAAGATATGTGGCTCAGGGGGCGCCTGGGTGGCTCAGTGGGTTAAGCCTCTGCCTTCAGCTCAGGTCATGATCTCAGGGTCCTGGGATCGAGCCCCACGTCGGGCTCTCTGCTCGGCAGGGGGCCTGCTTCTCCCTTCTCTCTGCCTGCCTCTCTGTCTACTTGTGATCTCTCTGTCAAATAAATAAATAAATAAATAAATAAATAAATAAAAAGATATGAGGCTCGGGAAGAAGTTACTGTGAAAGTGTAAGGTCCATATAATAAAGAAACAGACCCCCTTGGGACAAGTCAAGCACAAGAAAATAAGTATGCTCGGGGCACCTGGGTGGCTCAGTGGGTTAAAGCCTCTGCCTTCAGCTCAGGTCATGGTCTCAGGGCCCTGGGATCAAGCCCCACATGGGACTCTCTGCTCAGCGGGGAGCCTGCTTCTCTCTCACTCTCTGCCTGCCTCTCTGCCTACTCGTGATCTCTCTGTCAAATAAATAAATAAACTCTTTAAAAAAAAAAAGAAAAGAAAAGAAGTATGCTCATATGATTTGGAGAGGGGGAAAAAAAAAACAAGAAGAGCCACATCTGAGAAAACTCAATTTGATCTTCAAATGTTAAAAGCTACTTTCAGAGGATACCAAAAGGGCCACAAAATAGCCACAGAATTTTAGGAAGCTGTCATAGTGAAACTAATTTTTTTAAAATCAGGGGTCCAACCTGGTGCTTGATAAAGAGTCCAGAAAAACTGCCTTCTCTGAAGAGTCTCCCGTGGAAACAGCTCAAGCATGCGGCAAGAAGACCAAGGGTCAGGACCATGTAGATGTGGGCCCCTCGAAGGCAGCCCTAGCTGATAGGCCCTTCCGTGTTGATGGAAATGATGTTTATCCAGACTGTCCACTACTGTACCCACCAGCCACAAGTGGCTACTAAGTACCTGAAATGTGGCTATGTGTATCCAAGGAACTGAATTTTTAGCTTTATTTAATTTTACTTAAGTTGCAGTCAAATCGCCACAACTAACTAGAGTCTACTACAGTGGCTAGCATAGCTCTGCAGGGTTACTGTCGCCTTTTCACCTTGTCAGGAAGTCATTTCAAAGTTTAAAACTATGACCAAGAGGAGCCATCAGAGCTCAAGACACAGTCACAAAGTCTCCCTCTGTAAATACATGAGCCAGGGTCAACGACAAAGTTCATCTGGTTAGAACCAGATCTTTACAGTCTCAAGGCACAAAAATGTCCAGCCAACAGAGAAATCTAAAAAATTAAAGAAAGGATCAGATGTGTACAATACACAGATATTAGTCTGATTTCCCTAAAGTTTAAGAATGCCTCATAAATAATACGTTCCATTAAGTAATACTCCAAGAAAAATTTTTGGTTTCCATTTGACTTAAAAATGAAAATACTTATACCCAGAACTATCATTCTGTTCATATGAAAAATACAGAAGGTGTGTACTCTTACTTCTTCCCATCACACATTATCTTCCAAAGAATTCCCAAGAAATTTCCCTCTATACATTCCTAATAAAGATCTCTAGCAATCTTTAGAGAACTTATAAAGCAGTACAAGTGCATTATTTCACTGGATTCTCAAAATTACCAAATTCAGCCAAGATTGGCATTAGCCTCGTCTCCACTACAGAGGAGGAAGGAAGGCTCAATGAAGTCAAGTGGATTAAGCCAGATCCCAGAGGGCACTCGCTCTCCTCCCAGTCCCGTGCCCTTATACACACCACCCTGTAAGTAATCAGTGACAAGGGGAAACCGTTCCTCATCCAAGGGGCACCTCCACAGAGAAGGCAATTACAATACAGATAAAGAGGAATTCTAAAGTGGAGACTTCTTAAGCACTTTTAAGAAAAAGAAATAATGGAAGATCAATGATCAAAATATTTAAGGTCAGAAGTTATAAATCATTCTAGTACCAGAACTTGGTTTTCTGCTTTGCTCACAAATATATGTGCTGCCTCAAATAATTCCTCCCAAAACCAGCATCTGTGCAGAAACAGAGAAAGACCTATAGGTAAAGCAAACGTGGCAAATGTTAACTAGTGGATGTAAGTGAAGGGTTTACAGGTGTTCACTGTACTATTTCTTGCAACTTTTCTCTAAGTTTGAAATTTTTCAATATACAAAGTTTCAGAGGAAAAAAAATATACCTGCTGTCTTTGTCCGTTCTTTCATTTATGAGAGGAATCCATCGACTTGTTACCTAAGAAGAAAATCAACAAAAGCTAAGCCACAGTGAGGATCTTCTCTGAAAACTCTAAATGGAAGATCAGTTTTAAAAGTGCACCCATAGAAATTTAACTAGATATACTGAAGAAAGTCACACGCTCATACCTTATCGATAGAATGCTTGTTGTTAACAGCATAAACTATGCAGATGACATTAGCCTACAAGAAAAAATTAAGAAATTAATGGTATTTTTAAACAACACAAATGTAACTGGTAGCAACTAAATTAACGTATTTGGGCCAAAGGAAGACTAAAATTTGAAACCTAAAAAAACCCCCCACACTTAGCATGCCTCAGGAAAGAGTTCCTAAGAACTTACTGCAAAAATACACAATCAAAGTCAGCAGTTAATAACAAAGAATTGAAAAGACCTAAGTGAGAGAATAAACAAGACACTCACAAAATTATCACAAAAAAACCTCCTACAGCTATTTTTTTTAAACTCACCTGTGATATCTCTTGATGAAGCTGTTCATCACTCTGTTCTGCTTCTACAAATGACAAAGTAAAATAAGTTCATTATTTTAAACATTTTCATAAAAACTAATGGCCAAGCTAACATTCTATATGGCACGCATCCAACATCCTTCATCCCTCATGACATTTATGTAGTAGTGTAGAGCCAGATGAGGTGCCAAAGACAAGGGCAAGTCAGGGAAAGGAAAGAGCTGGACTATGATAAGGAAGCTGGCTGGCACTGAAAGACAAGTCTACCAGGGGATAACTCAGGCACGAAGAGCAGAAGGCATTGTGTGATAAATCTAGGCCAGCATCTGATCCAGAGCTGAGACGGGTCAGGCCAAAGAGATCAGAAACCCAAGCTAGAAGACTAGGTGCTGCGGTCAGAAGCCCAGACAAAGAGTCCACACACACAGGGTCAGAAGGCCAGGTGAGAATCTGGGCAATACAAGCTTAAGAGCTTGTATCTTAAGAAAGCAGGCCCCAGAAGCAAAACCCAAGCATGATAGTGATGAGTCAAGAGTTCCCTTTCTAGCACGTATCTCTGGCTGGAATGGGCTCAAATGGTGGATGTGCATATAACCCCAGAGCGCAGGGGATATGCATGATGAGAGCTACGATGAAAACACATACAAATGAATGGGGCGCCTGGGTGGCTCAGTCAGTGAAGCGTCCGACTCTTGGTTTCAGCTCAGGTCATGATCTCAGGGTCAGGAAATCAAGCCCTGCACTGGGCTCTGCACTTAGCAGGGAGTCTGCTTGAGATTCCCTGCCCCTCTGGCTTTTGCTCTCTCTCGCTCAAATAAATAAACAAATAAATAAATTTTTTTTAAAGATTATTTATTTATTTATTTGACAGAGAGAGATCACAAGTAGACAGAGAGGCAGGCAGAGAGAGAGAGAGAGAGGGAAGCAGGCTCCCCGCTGAGCAGAGAGTCCGACGCGGGACTCGATCCCAGGACCCTGAGATCATGACCTGAGCCGAAGGCAGTGGCTTAACCCACTGAGCCACCCAGGCGCCCAACAAATAAATCAATTTTTTAAAAAGCATTCAAATGAAGAGAAACCAGTAACGGACATTAATTTAGATTACCTTACGTTAAATATTCTCCCCCCCCCAAAATGCCTGTTATTTCTGACATACAATCTAATACCATACATGAGCATAATGATATTTTAATTTATGCTAAATAACTGGCCACATTTTAAGTATCTTTTCGTGTGCTGAGTAATCAATGGGTAATGGCTTCAACTCCAATGCAGTAAGAGAATAATTTTGTAAATGAAGCAGGTTATAAGGCTGACTGCCACAGAAAGCGTCCAACCCCCTCAGCTTCTGGTATAGTGCTGTCTAGCAGCTGGACAAGCAAGCCATTGTATGTCATTTTTAATGCTGCCATAGTCATATTAAAAAAATCAAAAGGATGGGGTGCATGGGTGGCTCAAGTGTTTGACTCTTGATTTTGGCTCAGGTCACGGTCTCAGGGTCATAGGATCCAGCCCCATGACAGGTTCTGCACTGGGCGTGGAGCCTGCTTAAGGTTCTCTCTCCCCCTCTCCCTATGCCCCTTTCCTGTTCAAAAAGTAAAAAGGAACAGGTAAAAGTACATTTTCATTTAATCCAAGGTATCAAAAATATTAAAAGTTGATCACGAACTCAACAAAAAAATTGTGATAAAATTTACATTCTTTTTCTCACACCAAGTCTTTTTTTTTTTTTTTTAAGATTTTATTTATTTATTTGACAGACAGAGATCACAAGTAGGCAGAGGCAGGCAGAGAGAGAGGAGGAAGCAGGCTCCCCGCCAAGCAGAGAGCCCAATGCAGGGCTCAATCCCAGGATCCTGGGATCATGACCTGAGCCGAAGGCAGAGGCTTAACCCACTCAGCCACCCACTCACCCCTCATACCAACTCTCTAATTCCACCTGTATTTTATACTTACAGCACTTTTCAGCTTAGACTAGCCAAATTTTAAGAGTTTGATAATCGTATTTTAAGAGTTCGATAATCGTAATTTGCAGGACTGCAAATCCTGGCATTTCACTTTTTTTTTTTTTTTTTTTAATTTTTTTTTTTATTTGACAGACAGGGATCACAAGCAGGCAGAGGCAGGCAGAGAGGAGGAAGCAGGCTCCCCGCTGAGCAGAGAGCCTGACACAGGGCTCAATCCCAGGACCCTGGGACCACGACCTGAGCCGAAGGCAGAGGCCTCAACCCACTGAGCCACCCAGGTGCCCCGCATTGCACTTTTAAAGTATGTGGAATACCAGCTTAGGAAAACAAAGTATTACCAATGTAATTATGCCATTCTTACAAACAGATTTTATTTTTTAGAGCAGTTTTAAATGACAGCAAAACTGAGTGGAAGGTACAGAGATTCCCCATTATACCTCCTGCCCCCACAAAGCTTCCCACTTTATGAACATAACCCATCAGAGTGGTCCATCTGTTACAACTAACTCCCAATGTGGGGATTGAACTCACAAACCCAAGATCAAGAGTCACACTCTCTACCAACTGAGCCAGACAGGCACCCCTCCTTTTTTTTTTTTTTTTTTTTTTTTTTTTTTTAAAGAAGTCCCAGAACAGAGCAAAATAATTTTGTGATTAAAAAGTAAGTCCTAGGGGCACTCGGGTGGCTCAGTCGTTAAGCATGTGCCTTCGGCTCAGGTCATGATCACAGAGTCCTGAGATGGAGCCCCACGTCAGGCTCTCTGCTCAGCAGTGAGCCTGCTTCTCCCTCTGCCTGCCACTCTCCCCACCCCCTTCTGTCAAATAAATAAATAAAATCTTTGAAAGAAAAAAAAGTAAGTACTAGTGGGTAGAAAAATTTTAAATTATTAAAAGCAATACAAATGTGCTTCTATTATCATATAATGTAAGCAAGCTGACGACTGTTTTAACTGTTATTTTGGGGAGGGGACAATTCTGATAAATTAAAGAACAAATTTAGAACTCAACAAATTCTCAAACTCAGAACTCTTTCTACATCATAAGAGCATTCCTGAATGCCTGATAACAAAATTAATCCAGAACTTACCTCTGCAAACATGCCAAGTCAAGGAGGGTAATGATTTATCTACTACTCGTCATTTACCATCACTCTTTCTTTTTCATTATTATGGAACCCAGCTTAGTAGATCTAGGACAGAGAACTACAAGACGGAGGCTTTATGTGGGGTGTGGGGTGGGGGTTGGCAAGGAGATATAAATGAGACAAGATTAGGAAATGATTATTTATTGCTAGAGAAAAAGGAACGCCTATCCTGGCACATTTTTTAAAGCTCAGTATGTACCCCTTTTTTGAGGACTGTTCGATTAACCCTGCAGCTTCACCCACAAGAGGATATTCATTACCTGAGTAATCTACGATGTGTGTTGGAACTCTCTCAGGGGTGACATCAGCTGGAATGGTAATTTCTTCTGCCCGGGGAGGAACCTTCATTTGCAAACAAACACAGAAAAGAAAAAAAAAAACCTTCGGCTATTATCCATCAAACTTGTTAACAGATCATGTAAATTCACCTATATATTAGCCCCTTCCACCCATACTTATCCTTCCAAGATTTATTATACTTTTAAATGCTTATTTTTTGTGCTTGAACCTACAACCTTGAGATCAAGACATGAGATCAAGAGTTGGATGCACAACCCAGTTGTCCAGGTGCCCCGATAAACACTTCTTTTAAAAAAAATGCATGTTTAGGGGTGCCTGGGTGGCTCAGCGGGTTGAGCCTCTGTCTTCAGCTCAGGTCATGATCTCGGGGTCCTGGGATCAAGCCCTGCATCTGGCTCTCTGCTCAACGGGAGCCTGCTCCCCCTTCCCCCGCCTGTCTCTCTGCCTACTTGTGATCTCTCTCTCTCAAATAAATAAATAAAATCTTAAAAAAAAAAAAAAAAAAAGCATGCACATTTCTACTTGTGTGGGCACAGGACATATTAAATATACTTCAGCTCTAATACAGCCTAAAATAATACCTAAGTTAATTGTTTCAATTAGGTTAAATGTTTCATTTAACCTAAGTTAAATGTTTCAAACATTTGATTTTTTAAAAATGCTATTTTCATTCCATTTTTTTGATGCTTAGGATACTCTACAAATGAGGAGCTATGTTAATCCAAAGCAATTCTCAAATAAAACAATAAATTATCAAAATTAATTTCTTCTAGAAGATAACTGATTGGCTACATAAGCCTTATTAAATGACTCCATTTTTTAAGGAAGACTGTATGATTTTTTAAAATCAATTAAAAACCTCTTATCCATACCCAAGAGGACTATGCTAAAATGACAATTCTAAACTCAGTTAAATGATCATAGAAAACATTTAGGTATTATACTCCAAGTGATCATATGATGATGATACACTTCATTCCACAAATTAAGTACTTATTTCAGTATCTCATTTAAGAGGGGGGGGAAAAAGCAAAAGAAACAATGAATGGTCATGGTGGCACTTGTAATTGTTGAAAACACTACCATATAATATACCAAATTCCTGTCTAAACAATGAAATTATACAGATATTCCTAACTAAACAAGAGGAAAGAAAAAGGAAATGCAAACTGTGGGACTAATAATACCAACTATGTGAAGAGAATAAGTAGTATTCATCCCATTTGCATCAATCCTATTCCCCAAAACATAATTCTAACTTTACGTAAGGCCTAAGCCAACAGTCCCTCATTTTGGAACACAAATATATTGCAGTAATCATAAAATCACCTTACTCTACTATCATTAACCTTACCTCCTTTGAGACACACAACAATCTTTTCAGTGGTGTTATGAATTAGTTTCTTCATTTGTAAAATGATGTAATGGATAACATGAAAGGTTCTCAGACATGTGGTCGGAATCCTAGGGGTTCTAATGCCTCAAAGACCAGGGAGTGTCAGATGGAAGGCAGGTGGGGAGCCAGCCAGACGTTTCACCCTTATTTCAACTAAAGGAATACTTGCCTATTTTATATTTCGGGGCTATGAATAACATTTTATTTTTTGGAAAGGATTAACAGCTTAGATGATCTGTAATAGCCCTTCGAGCTCCCATTTTACAGATGGGACAACTAAGGCACAGAGATGACAAACGTCCTAGCCAAGATCCAAAAGAGGAAAAGGAAAGGACTTAGTGAACCTGGATCTGGTTTGATTCCTGCTCCTGCACTACATTTCAGGGATGCCCTGTGTAAACTAATATGAGCCCTTTTAAAGTCACAGCTGTCAGAAAGCAAACACCTGCCAAAAAAGTGCAGAACTTATTTCACTTCAACTCAATTTTGATAAATTAAAAAGATTTCAAATGTAGAAAAGACATAAAAATGTTTACCTCTTCTGGGAATTCTTCACTGACCAGAGACATAATCAGTGATGTCTTCCCAACTCTAGCTGTGAAAACAAACATCATTATTTTAACAATAAAATGTCTAGGTTCTCCATAAGCTCAAATTCAACAACACAGCAGAGTCTGTTATTCATTAGCTAAAATCAGAGGCATCCAACTCACCCAGTTTTAGTACAATGCTTAAAGTTTATCTTTTTTTCTGCTTAGAAAAGTTACACATACCCATTGTTTAAAACTAAAAAATTACCAAAATATATAAAAGCAAAAATCTTCCCCCAAATCCCTTTTTACCAGTTTAGTATATGAAGTCTCCCGGATTTTTTCCTTACTTATGTTATTACAATAATTCACCACACAGTTTACTAGTAGAATTGCAGCATTCATACTATTTTACAATCTTCCCTTACCGTTTAATTATGTACTTGGGTAGCATTCCAAGTCCATATGTAAAAATTTCCTGAGATGAGTGAAGGTACAGTTATTATGTAATAAACACAGAGTTTTATTGGGGATGATGAAAGAGTTTTAGATAGAAAAAATGCTGATGATTACACAACACTGTGAATGTATTTAACGCCCCTTAACCATACTCTCAAAAATGGTTAAAATGTCAAACCATATTCCTTAAATATTTTATCACAATTTTAAAAAATAGCAACAGGAAATCCATTTTATATTAATATAAAAGATCTCTTACATTATTTCTTGACAGCTGTATAAGAATCCATCATAAGACATGTCCTAATTTATTAATGCAGTCTTCTAACAATGAGCACTGTTCACGTTTTTGCCTTTATAAACAATGCTGCAATGAATATTTCTACAGGGTAAATTCCCAGAAATGAACTTGTTAGCATGCATAATCTTCTTTATTTTTAATAACTACTGTTAAATCACCTCTAAAAAAGAACAAGCTAACTTACATCCTCACCAAGAGAAGATAAGTGTGTCTGCTTTGGACATCCTTACATTCTTTCTTTTTTTAGGTTATCATATAGAAAAACTTAGTGAGAACAAAGTAGCTTTCCTGTTATATTTTCTAACCTAGCAAGATTTTTTTCTTCTAGCAAGATTTTTAATGCACAAACTTAAAAATCTTCATTTTCATTTGGAAATTTCATTTCCATTCCCATCACTTTCTGATCATATACATTCAACTGCATCAACTAAATCCTTTTGTGATTCTAGAGGAAAACAATCCACCTGCCTATTAATCTCTGCCATAACGGCAAATTAGTTTCCAAAGGTAAAGCCTAAATATGAAAGAACTGGAAAATTTTAAAGTGAAGAAAAGTCACATTCCTTTTTTAAAATGATGACTAAAAGAAACAGTGATGAAAACCACAAGTCAAGTCTCCGGAAAAATAATGAATGGCTTGAAAAGGAAAAAAAAGAGTGTGGGTCAAAACCACCTACAGGGTGAGCTGCAAACAAGTGTTGTTAGGGGAGGCTCAGAGTAGACTGAGCGACAGGTATCTTCTAGCTCCGATTTCTGAGGATCTTTTCAGTTTACTCGTGTTTGAAGGCTTGGGCCTTTTTCAAGTAGCTGACTATAAGATAACACTTCTCTGAGTTCCAACCATGTCAGTGAATCCAGAGCCCATCTCAAAGAACCACTAGAATATAGTTATCAATGTCAGCTTATCCAGCCCCCTGCAAAAATGTTCAGATGAAGAACCTGGGACCCAGAAACAGCGATTTCTCAAGGGCTCACAAAAAAATGAGTTGCAGACTTAAGAGAATAACCCATCTTTCTGATGGCTAAGCCAGTGTTCTCTTTCCTGCAACATACTTTAAAAAAATATTAAGACATGGGGTCCTGGGTGGCTCAGTCTGTTAGGTGTCAGCCTTTGGCTCTGGTCATGATCCCAGGGTCCTGGGATCAAGTCCCGCATCAGGTTCCCTGCTCAGCAGCGAGCCTGCTTCTCCCTCTCCCTATGCCTCCTGCTCCCTCTTGCACACTTGCTTGCTCTTTTTCTCTCTCCCAAATAAATAAAATCTTTTAAAAAATTAAAAAATATTAAGACAATAATACAGAGAAGGAATGATAGCCCCTAAAGTCAGCAAGCACTACATACACAAAAACTATATAAATTAATTAAAATATTCACTGATTCACTGGTGACTAATCCAGCAGCTCTGATTCCACTTTTTTTTTCTTTAACTTATTTTGAGAAAGTATGGACTTTCAGAAACACTGCAAAAATAGTACAAAGGAGTCATATCTATTCTTTAACCAAATCCCTCAAATGTTAACATTATCATTGCTTTCCTCTCCCTCCCCCTACTCTTTTTAAACCATTTAAGAGTAAGTTGTAGATGCCCCTTTACCCTTAAGCCCCTTAACTATGTATTTCCTAAAAATGAGATCATTCTCTTCCATAACCACAGTGTACTGTCAAGATCAGGAAATTAACACTAACAGTGCTATTATCTACTCTGTCGACCTTATTTCACATCTCACCATTTGTCCCATTACCATCTCTTATAGAAGAGAAAAATCTTTTTCTTCCCCCAGGATCAAATGTCGCATTTGGTCATCATGTTTCCTTAGTCTTTTTTTTTTTTTTAAGATTTTTTTATTTATTCATTTGACAGATAGAGATCACAAGTAGGTAGAGAGACAGGCAGAGAGAGAGGAGGAAGCAGGCTCCCCGCTGAGCAGAGAGCCCGATGTGGGGCTCGATCCCAGGACCCTGAGATCATGACCTGAGCCGAAGGCAGAGGCTTTAACCCACTGAGCCACCCAAGCGCCCCTTCCTTAGTCTTTAGTCTGGAAGAGTTCCTCTTTTTATCTTTCATGGCCTCAGCATTTAAAAAAAAAAAAAAATACAAGTCATTTAATTTGTAGACTCTCTCTCAATTGGGTCTATATGATGTTATCTCATAATTAATTTCAGGTTTTGCATTCTGCAAAGGAACGGTCCAGAAATGATACTGTATCCCTCAAAGTACATCACAGCAGAAGGGAGACTATGTCAATTTGTCCCACTCATGGTGATGTTAATTGTCATCACTTGGAGGAGGTGGTGTCTGCAGGTTATTATCATTCCCTTTGTAATTGATAAGTATCCTGTGAGACTACAAGCCGCTATAGTCAACTCTAAGTTGAGACTATGTGAATACTGTTTCTCATCAAACTTTCACCTACTGGTTTTAGCAGCCATTCATGTCTTGTGTTGCTTGTTTTGTCTTGTGTTGCTTTAGTGGTGGTTACGTGGTGGTGTTTCTATCAGTCCTTCTACATTACTTTGCATTCTGCTTTAAGCAAAAACTCCCTTCTGATTCATATCAGCACGGTCTCATGGATTCCTACACTACTCTATGCGTTAAGATCCACTACTGTCATTATTTGGAGGCTCAAATTGTTCCATTTTACTCCGAAAAAATGACATTTATGCAGGTATAAATCAGGATTACTATATGACCTCATTTTATAAATATGTATTCACACTGGAAAAAAAAAACAACCCTGAAGGATCTATACACCAACAGCAGTCATCTCTGAAGTAAACATAATTGCAACTTTCTTTGTGCTTTTGTACTTCTGCATCTTTTCCCAATTTTCTATAACAAATATAAACAATTTTTGCTACTAGAAAATGTTAACAAGTACTATTTTAAAAGTCACTATTTAGTAGTAAAAACTGGCATGTTCTACATTTCTAGATGGCAGGGTGTCTGGGTGGCTCAGTCAGTTAAGCATCCAACTCTTGATCTGAGCTCAGGTCTTGATCTCAGGGTTGCGAGTTCAAGCCCCACACCGGGCTCTACAGTGGGCGTGGAGCCTACTTAAAAAATTTTTTTTACAAAGGGCAACTAAAATTTACCTAAAGAATGTTAAATGCATTCTTTCACCCCTTCAAGAAATATTTCTTGAGGACTTCTATAGACCAGGCACTATTCCTGGTGCTGGGGATACACCTGATCAAGGCACTAGTTCTTCCTTATTTTTACATTCATGGAGATTATATACTAACAGATTTATGAGATTTTCACCAAAAAAAGAACATTCTTTCTACATATCAGGACAAAAAGCAAAAACTCAAAAACTGGCCATGCTTGATTTACCCTTCCTCTGTACTGAGCATTCGAATTCTATCAAATTTTCCTCTGAAATTTTTAATATTAATTCCTTCCTCTCCGTTCCCACCTTTCTATAATTAGGATATTTTCTATCCCTTCCTCCAACCTCTCCTCTTATTAAAATCCATTAGAATACAAATGGCAACCCCTCTCTCTTAGACATCTTTTCATTTTCTAACTCATCTGATCAAAAGCCTTGACTCTCAATTACCTACCACATCAAGGTGAAACATTCTACTGGCCTTTAAAAATCATGCATAATTTAATGCCACCTCATCTATCTAATCTCATTTCCCACTATTTCCACATGCATGGTTTGCTCAAATAAGGCCATTCTGCTCTGTGTAAGCACAAACAGGTTATTATGGATCTTGCCTCCTCACATGGTTTTCTTCATCTAACACATCGTTCCCTCTCCCTCCTCTGCTTTTCCAAATGTTAACCATCTCTCAAGGGCAGCACAAATTCTACCTCTTCCCTAAAGACATCCCAGGGCGACTGCAGCCCTCCCTTTCCTTCTTTGGACTACTTCTGTGCCACATAACTGAACACTAAACTGTTATGAATACAAGGTACATACTTAACATGTCTGCATCTGCAGTAATGTAATAATCAAATATTTGATAATGAACTGAATTTTCTAATTTTATATGAGTGGGAGAAAGACCTCTAGCACAGCAGCCAGACTGAATTATCTGACTTACTTTCTCCCTGCCCAAGCACAACAGCATTGCTATCGTTTCAGCCCTGCCATTTAGGAAATTAAGTCTACCTCGTGGAGCTTCTGGAACTATCCCATTCAAAGTTTTTCTTAACAGCAGCTGAAGAGCTATGAACAGTAGAGTAACTTCTGAGGGGAAAAATACATTCTAAAATTACTACATTCTAAGTAATTCTAAAATTACTCTGTGCAATTAACGTTGAAATTGCCAATAATATTAAAGGAGGGCATGATGTA